GGAACTTCATGTCCAGTCTGTGTGTGTGATTTGATGAAATAATTGCCTTAGGACCTGCTGACACTCTAATTGGAGTCTGCATAATGCAGAACCACAACCTTAGAGCAGCACTCTCTTTATTTTAAGGACCCCTCTGTTAATTTCATTTGAATAACTCCCTCATTTAAATCTAGAGAGAAGACTTCAAATTTCATCATCTCCCTGTGACTGTGCTGTTTATCACTTGTTTCCTTCTCTGATGGCCTCCTCCCTATCCATTTTTGTGGGTCTGGTGTTGCAGCACCTGAACATGGAAAAGGTTTTAAGATTCAAAGAAGTCAATCTGCATGATAAAAATATTTTGTCATGAGCAATTTAATTCAGTGTTGGCAGTTCTCATTATTCTGATTACTTTTTTCTCTCCTTTCTCAGCTCTAAGGATCACCGTATTTCTTATGAAAATCTGAAGTTTTCATATGCAAAATGCGAATTTCTGTTTCTCATGTTTCCACAGAAAACCTCAGAAGCATAAATTTTCCATACCCACTTCCAAGTAAATGAGTCAAATAAAAAAGAAACCCCAAACCCATACTTTAAAAGATAAAAAAAATCCCAACCCTATCAGAAACTCCAAACAGAACAACAAGAACTCAAATCTCATTTCTCAGAAAGTGGCTCATAATTTTTGAACTCTTGAAATAATTACACTTAGTAAAAAAACGAGCATGATTTCAGTTTTAGCTCATAATTTTTGTGCTCTATGTTCTTTTGTTTTCATTTCACATTACTCTCCTGAAGTCAAAGGTAGGATGTGGTCCTACAGAATATTTTCCTCTGAAATGAGATTTGTTTACATTTACTCTGTGCAGAATTCCTGTTTGGGCAGATGGCTTTCACAGGTGTCTGCACCATTTACATTTCTAATTAAATAAAGCCTTACAGAAGGATGAATTTCACACCATAAGAATGTGTGTGAAATGCAATTAATATTCTGAGCTTGTGTTTCTGTGCTAGGTGATCTCCTAAAGGTAGGGCTAATGAAGATATGAGGGTGTGCACAGCAAAAAGGTGAGAAAATTCATTTGCAGAGCGAGCATGTGGCCAAACTGAAACTGTGCAGGTTTAAAAGAACATAAAGATTCTAAAATTCTTTAGAAAGACCTTTCTGAGATGACTTTGAGTCACCAGAAGAGGAGGTAGAAGCACGCTGGGTTTTGAGGTGTCTGATACCCAAAGGTATTTTAGCATCAGGGAGTTTATTCATTTCCTCTGCAGTACAGTGTTAAATTGCTCTCCTTTTTTTGCTTTCCAACCATATTCTATGTGAGCAGCTTTCAGTGCAAATGTTGAGGTCAGTAAAGGTCACCAGCATGTGCATGTTGGTTTATTAACTAAAAAAAGGTGTTTCTTAGGCTTGATATCTCACCAGGAGTACAGTTCTAGCACAGTGGCCAAACTAGCACAGGAGTTATCTGAATTATGACATTTCCTTACACCAACTAGCAATAAATTCTGAAAGAAAAATTGTCAAAATATTAAAACTGAGTCTTTGCTCTGTACATTTCTGAAAAGCAGGAGGTTGAAAAACTTGGATTTTGCATGTTGGTGAACACAGAATGTGTGGGTCTGAGTAGTCATGATTCTGTTTTGCTTTTCAGACTTCTACCCTTTTAGATTTCATGAGCAAATTGTTTGCTGTATAACTGTTATTTTTGTTCAAGAATTTGGCTTTTTTCTTGGTAGAAGGTGAAGGATCTTTTTGTACTAATTGCCCAGCACTTCACTAGTTGTGTGAAAAATATTTGTATATGTGGAGTTCTACACATGACATTTAAATATCATTTACAGTGTGTTTAGCTGAAGTCTTTCTTTAGGTGCTTATCAGCCTATAGATCTTTCTATTATATCCAAAAATACGAAATCTACATGATGTTTAAATTCAGAATATATTCTGCTTTGAACAAGTCTCTTTCCCTTAAACATGTATCTTCCTGGCTTATTTTTTTCAAGATATTTTTAAAGACTACTGTCCCCAAAGTGAAGAACCCTAACAGAAATTATTTTAATTAGATAGAAATTTATTTCAACAGCAGTTACTTCATGAGAAAAATAAATTAAAAGAATAATTTTCCTTTTAAAAGATAATTAATTAAAAACTGTCCATGTGATGACAGATTTAACATTTTGTCTGACGTGTTGAGAAGAAGAAAGCGCCTGGAATTGCACAAGTGGAATAAAATGTTCCATTTCACAGCAAGGCCAAGCTTGAGTCTTGTAATTATTTCAAAGGGAGTAAAGGTCATTTTCTATTTGCTGCATCTCTATTATGTGAGGCTTCTGTACCAGGCTTACAGAAGTTAACTCATGACCCATTTAGATTGCCCAGATTTCAAAGTCAACTTAGGCTGTCACAAATCTGATAAAGTAGACATATTCCCTTCTCTAAGTACTGCCATAGATGATGTCCAAAGAGGCTTTTTATTTATAGCTCTGTAAGACAAGAGTTCCAGCTTTAAGGCTCGAGTAGCTGGGAGATCAGAACATGATTTCCCTCTCACTTGTGGTGTTAATCCTTTAGGGGAAGAGCTGTTTGTAGATAAATTTCAGGATATATGGCTGGGACTGGTTTTCTGGTGGGAACTCCTTATATAACTTTGCTCGCATCTTGAGATGGGAAGAGGTTTTCTCCTGCTGTGATTGCATTTTTATGCATATTCATCCAGGAACACTGAGTCAGAAAGACAGGTACTTTAAAGCTGCACCTGTGCACGCAGAAAATGTGTGCAGAAGATGCATGTGTGCCCTTCTTCTGTGCATATGCCCATTGAAATGCATATAAGGCAGGTTTGTTAACAATCAGTAATCAAGCTTTATGCACAATTTTCGGGGCAGGCTCTGCATACCTCAGTTCACATTTGCAGATGTCTCCTGCTGGAAGACTGAAGGGGACACATCCCATTCTCAACCCAAAAATCTCCAATAAAAATCAGTATATCAGTGTCATTAAGAGAACTAGGGATTGGGAGCTGTGGTTTTAAACCTTTTTAAGAAATGCAGGAATAGTGTGATGATACCGAAATTAATAATAGTGTATTGCACTACTAATTGCAATTAATAAAAGTGTATTGCTCTTTTCTTGGTGCATTACTTTAAATCTTTCTCTTCTTTCTTGGTTAATCCTTCCAAGGGACCAACATGGAGCAAGTCAGGATGGAAGACAAAGGTGTCCATCTGTTGTGTTTGCCTTCCACCAGATAAATTGCCATGAAATATTCTGGCTGTTTCTCACAGTCTGCTGGCACTTCTGGCCAAGCTTTTATAGCAACTGCCAGTGACATGAAATAAATGATCCAGCAGTTGGTTCCCATAAGAACAACTAATGCAGGCCAGGTGGGGCATTGCTGCCTTTGGATTTTGTAAATGGGTAACACAAGACTTTAAATGAGTGGGAAATGCAAGAAGGGAGAGAGCAGGTCATGTATCACTGTGATTTAACAAATGGACCGTGAGTGGTGGGGGATAGGGAAACGTGCAGATGGTAAAATATTGTAGGACATCTCTTTAGGATCAGGATCAGCAGAACTGGATGATAAAGGAGTGGAGGTGGGACTGAGAGGTGCTGTTGGTACACTGGGAGAATTGAGACCTCTGTTGTCACCTGAGCTGCTGAAGGAGAAAAGAGCCTTCAGCATTCACTGGCGTGATACTGGGGAGAAATTGTCTTCACTTGACACCCGAAGAACTTCATTTCCAAAACTGTAATTGTGTGTTGAGGATGCCTTGAGTAAATAGACCCATTGTGCAAGCCACTTGAAGAGCAAATGTCATTCGGGCCCCCTGTGTTTGTTTCCCTCTTGGTTGTCACACGTGCCCTCTCTAGTTGATTGTGCTCGGGCTGCCTGACAAGCAGCAGATTGCCCATAACAATTTTGAGATCAGAGTGGTCAGTGCACCCCCTGGAAGTCAGGTTTAGTAAAACACCTTTAGATGTTCTAAAGCAGAAAGTACTTCTGAAAATGCACTTGGGTTGGAAAAGATGATTTGACATTTCCTGCTCTTAACCTTGCCTCCTTTTGCCTCTCTCTTTAACCTTTTACACTTTTTAGTAATTTCTTTCTGCTTGCTGCTTCTTTCTTGACCATTCTTACCTCCATGCTCTCATTTAACAGCTGCCAAGGAAAATAGCCCTTCAGGTTGTTTTCTCTATTCAGGGATAAAATGCTTCAGAGTCTGAGATCAGAATTGTACCTATTCCCAAGCGATTTTATTTTGCTTTTAAGCTTCTTCCTTTGATGTTCCTGTGGTGACACGGAACTTGGGTGACCACGTACAAACAGTGACACAAACTGTATTCAGCTGGAACCTTCAGATCCACCTCCACTGTGATACACACATTCCTTTTTCAATCCTCCCTTGGTGTAAATAAGCTTTTGATTATAGGGAAAATGGACAAACTGTGGCTTAGAGAGAAAGAAAAGAAACAGTTCATACTTGCTAGCAAAGAATTTCTTTTATAAATGAAACTTCTGTATGTGAGACTTTACCCTTGAATATAGAATTTCTTCTGCAACTTGGTGATCAACTTTGAGACAGCTTTGCAGCTCTTAATTTATCACTTATTCAAATCAACTTGCATGTGCTTAATTTCAGCATATATTTAGGTCCAGCTCTATTCAGCTAGGCCTAAATAAATGTGATTTTTATCAGCAACATTACATCTTATGTTTTTAATGGACCAGTAACATTTTTTATTGATATTCTGAACTGGAATTCACCTTGAAAGCTACTATTTTGTAATTTCAATGCCAGCCCATATATATAAAAGCAAAAACCTTACATAAAAAATTGTTTAGCAAGATTTGAAGGGGAAGTGTGATATGATGGATATTCTGTTTTATGAGTATGGACCCAAATGTTTTGTTTTATGAGCACTGAGCCTAAACCAGCTATGGTTCCCAGAAGCCAACATGATGGATGCAGGAGTGGATGTTAAAAGTCTATTTCTGTTTTTTTCCCCTCAGGTTCTGCTGCTTGCATGTGCAGAAGATTTAGAATGCGTCCCTGGATTCCAGCAGAAGGTTTTTTATATAGAAAAGCCATTTCAATTCACAGAGGACCAGCTGGTTCTGAACTGTATGTTCTTTTCATATATTACTATTGTGCAAAAATCAGAATTGTTTATGTATTCATTTCATTCCTGCCATTTATCAGAAAGCGGTTTTTTGTTTTGTACCTAAGATTTTGGATATTGCCATGATTCAGTCTGAGTTCACCTGCATTAATCCTATGTCTCTATGGGCTTTACTCTGTTTCATGTATTAGAAATGGCAAAATACAATATATAATCATTTAGGGCTATATGAAAGTTGTGAAAACCTAGAATCAGCCACTTCTTAAAAATTAAATTTACTCTGAATTTTTTTTATAATCTTACCTATGAGCTTGGAAATTGGGACTTGCCCATCAACATCTCTATTAAATTATCTCTGTGACTCAGATTTAGAAGTTTGTATTTTGAAAGCATTCACAGATGATACAAGTCCAAGTCTTTACATGAAATTCAGAGACTGGAAGAAGTTTGGGATCATCAGTGATAGCAAAGTGTCCCACAACTGGACTATTCAGTATATTTCCATTGAACAGGTGTCACATTATAAAACCCAGTCTGGCATTGTATACCCAAAGCATTAAACTGAAGCAGATTTAACAGTTTTTCAGTTCTAGTGTTAGTTCATTCCAATACTTCAGGGTTACAAATTGTTTGTTCCGTTCTGGGGCTTTGGGATTTCAGCAGTGTCAGATAAAAGCAGAGCCTTATCCAGTGGTCGATGTCTTTAAAGACTTAAAAAAGGATTTAAGTGCTGCCATTTCCATAACTTCCAAACACACCTGCATTTTTACATGTGACATTTATTACTAATGATTTTGTTGTGCTTGGCTGCTGGTGCTGAACTGGAATTCTTCTGGGTGTCCAGCATTGGGCAGTAGTGCTGGGCTCCTATGTGCAATATCTGAATCCTACAATGGGATACATCCCTTAGCTTGGTGGAACCAAGAAATGCAAACCAATATTACTCACCAAATGCACACATATCCCATCTCAGCTGCCTCCAAATATCACTGCTACATATTGATGTATTTTCACTTCACATGAAGATGTAATCTGTGCACATACACTTTAAAATAGCACTAACTTCTCAAAACGAAATGTCAGAATTAGTTGCCAAAGTCTATTGAAATAACTCTCTTAAACTTAAGTCATTCAGCCTTTGGAAGTACTAAAATAAACTTCTAGGATTACATTCTTAGTCTCAGCATTTTCGTATGTTGCTTAGTCTGAGCTGCTTTTTCACAGGAACTTTAGATCACGAGTAGAAATACTAGTCAGAGATGTGAGATTGTTGTTCAGCTTAGAAAAGAGATTTCAAACTTCTTATTTCTTTGGGGAATTTAGTTTTTCTCTGGAATTCTTATTTTGGGGTTGTCAAACACATTATTCTTACGTGCCTAAAAGTTGAAATTCTTAGAATATAATAGATTTAATAAGCATGCAGATTTGAAGACCTATTAAAATAAGCAGTATGGATAAACTAGTGTTAAATTGAATAAAAGCAACCTTTGTTCAATACATTTTCCTGCTTCAGAACTTTGAGGCTGTAGTGTGTCTGGCCAGATCTCCTGCTGATTTGGAAAGGATCACCCAAGGATGTGTTGGTTCAGCCAAACTGACTGGGCTGCTCTGTGGTGACCCAGTCATTTGCAGTGGTATAAAGTGAGCACAATAATTAAGATGCCATCATTAGTGAGAGGAGGAGGGAAGAGACTCAGAAATGCCTGGGAACAATCTCTGGAATTAAATTATTTTAATAAGCAGACACTAAATTGGCCTAATGTGCAGTGTTGGACAGAGGCAGACTGTTGATGTGTGATCCTGGTTAATTCAATCACCCACAAACAGGGTGTCCTTCATGCAGCACCATTAAACTTCACCACAGTTCCTTCATTTTAGCTGTCAACAGAATTGATAATTTTAATTGTCTGTTTGAATACACTTTGCATGCTCTTGCATCTTTTTATGCCCATTACCAAGAGCAGTGTAATTTAGCAGTTGCATTGCAATGCGAGGCTTACCAGGGCTGTGTAAATTAATAGAGCAAATATGTAAACCAGGCCTATAGCAGTGATTGTTTTTGTAGTCCTCAACAAGCCAAGGAGCTCCTTAATTCTTTTCTGAAGTGCAATAATACAGTCTCTCTTTTTTTTTTGTTTTCAATTTAAACAAGAACCTACTGTACGTTTCATTGCTAGCATTTCCCTTGTAATTAAATATTGGTTGTGGCTGCTTCTTATGTATTTATTACTTCTACATATGGCAGTGTTAATTGTATTTTATACTTACTGATGGGAAGAATGAAGAGAAGACCATACCGAGGGTACAGAATTTTCTGTTATTTCTTGTCCTGATTTGTAGCAATTTTTATTAAGGCCTATTTATAAGCTGGCTGTAACTGTGTGCATATTCTGCTCCCTGTTAGTTTCACTGGTATTCAGTTACTATTAGTTTTTCTGTCATTGTGCTCAGGCTGAACTAGCTTTTAAATTCTTATTTATTTATTTGCTCTTGCATCTCATTTAGTAGCAACCTCCAGACTATGACCATTTTTTTGTCCCAGTTTGGTAATTTTTTTTCCCCTCAGACCCCTTCAGATCTCCTTAAAACTTGTATTTTCTATGACCATAAACAAAATAAGGCATTGCTCTTTTACTTTGGGTCTGCCCAGTTTTTTCCTTTGTGTGCAGAACTAGATGTTCCCTTGATGTAGTGAGAAAAGATTCATGGAGTCACTTTGTGGAAATAGTAATTATGTCCACATAATTATTATTCTAGCAAACAATTGTGTCACTGTTTTTCCCTTTCTTAGAGGCTTTTTTTTTTTTTAAACTTTACACCTAGGACCATCTTTGCAATCCAATAGAGAAGGTCATCAAGATTTCCACATTCTTGATGAAGTGTTAATTGACAGCATTTAATTACAGGTTTTACACCTGTCAGAAGCACTTGTGGCCATGAAATGCCTCCCCATCAGAAAGGCTGTCCCTGCCAAGGCTGGCAGGTCACTGGCAGTGACAGGGCTCTGTCACACTGGGCTGAGAGAAATTTCCTAATCAGACTCAACAAACGTGGGAATGTAATTGTGTTACATTAATCACGTTTATACTTAACACACATCGGGCTTGGCTTTTGGGGGTATTTTTAATTGACAATGAATCAAATAGTGCACTTGAATAATGGAGGCAATTAACATAAAGCACGAGGTGATGCATTGTGCATACTAAACTGGAGAAGGCATTGCCAGGGCTTTAAATGTCAAAACAAAGGAAGTGTTGACCCTTACTTGAAAAGCTTTAATTTGAATGTTAATTAATGGCTGACCTCTTGTGTCTCTTACGTGATAGATTGCATGTTCAGAGCTTGGGTTGCTTCAAGATGAAGGTTTTGTATGTCTGCATTTGGGTACTTTTTGTTCTGTGGATTTTAACAAAGAGCTTTCTACTCAACCATATCAAAATCATTATTTACTCATATGATGTGAAATATCTTAGTGTACTTATTAATGCTTAAAAGTAGGTTTTCAATTGTCTGGTAAAGCTGTGGCCTCCAACAAGACTTACTTTGTTCAAACCAAATAAAGCCTGTGGAAAGATCAGGGAAGATCATTCCTCCTCCTAGAGCCTGGTGTGTGCACAGATCATGGCCCTGGTCATGCTCACATAAAACATCTCCTGTTGATTCTGAGCTGATGCCATGTGAGAGCTGTGATTTGTTACATCCACCCTTCTCACTGATTCCATGCCACTTGACTGCACAGGTGGCCTCTTCCTGTGCCTGTTCCATGCTATCAGTAGTGCTGCTGTTCCTCTCCTGTTCGTTCTGACCCTGGAATTATCACACCCCCTTCGTTCTTCCCTTCTTCCCTTTTCCCCACACCTTGCACAGAGCCACCATGGCAGCCTCATTCAGCCCCCAGTGATTTGCCAAAGCCTCTGACACGGGGTTTGGATGTGACTGTTAACTCTTCAGGCTGAATATTACAGGTTTGGGCAATTGGGATTGCACATGGTAGTTGTAGCTTGCAAAAGCACATGTTCAAGCAAGGAAAGATATTAAGCTTAGCAATTTCTTGCAGGGGAAACAGTCTGGGCTTCTTGGTAATAGCGAGATAACTGTGGATTTTCCACCTATTCAGTGTGTCCTTGCTGAAACAGTGTTGTGGCTTTTCAAAATGAAGAAGTTTTTAATGCATTTTGAGTTTAACAAGCATCTTAAATTTTCTTTCAATTCACATAAATTGCTCGCTGTGGTAAGAATGTGCTTCAGAAGATGTTGAAAAATGAGTTGGTTCCCATTCCTTGGGATTGAGGAAACAGGTTCAACGGAAAGGCATCTCAGCTTTCCTACCCAGATTGTGCTTGTTATATCCTAAAATATATATCTTTATGGACTCATATGCATGGGTAGAATTTGAATACTAGACATTCAATCTGTCACTTGTAATGTGGTTAAGATAAAGCATCTGGAACTCTTATTCCATGCAGACAAAAATATTGGTCAGAATTTGAAGCAACACATCTTAAGCACACTATTCTTATTTAAATGGTCATAGGAATCCAAATTCATGTAAGTAAAAATCCAGGAAATATTTGAGGGTGTGTGCAAAATGGTTGTGAAGTTGTGGAAGTTTTAAAGTGGGAGGCTGGGACCTTTATTACATGTTTGTGGGGGCAAGGTGAGGAAGATCCTTTTGCACCTAAATACTTAATGCATTGCCTTTTAATTGAAGTTTGATCCTCAGCTCCTACATGGAGGGAGAACATTGTCTGGGAATACATATTATGACTAAATAATACAGAATGTCTTAACTGTACCTCTGAATAGATACATGCAGATTGGTGTTACAGCACAACAATATCACATCATCTGTTTAACTGTTTTCACACATGATGGAAGTAAAACAAAGTAGGAGAGAATGGTTGTTGAGTGCCAGGTGGTCAGACAATTCCCTCCCAAACAGTGAGTGTCAGCTTCCAGGACCCAAGTCAAAAATAGACTGATTTTTTTTTAATAAAACTAG